AAATATTATGGTTACTTTTACCGTCATAATAACATTTGTCCCTGACTGCCGCCTTTCTCTGCTTTAACTAACCTTGCATTTAACAGCCTGAGGAAGACATCCTGGCTACACTAACATCTTCTAATACAACAGATCTCTAATCAATATCTATCTAACTAAGAAAGTACCTAACACACCTCTACCTAAAATGACCCTTTTGACTACATTATTATGCAAAACATCATGTTTTGTCCTCCATGATTTAGACAGCATTTTCTCATTCTCAACAAGTTGCTCCCAATGGCCAGAGCAGCACCTTTCAGGGACATACAGTACGTGCATTTATTTATACTGTAGGACAGAGGTGTCAAACTCAATCGCACAGGGGGGGCAAAACTCAAAGCACACTTTAGGTCACGGGCCAAACAGGATAAACATTTATTGAACAGACTAAAACTAAACGTTTTTTGAACATAAATATGAATCGAAGCAGACAGGATACAATATTATTCCAACATAAATACACTTGAACTTAAAATCAGCAACCGTATTTCTGCTAAGCCTTACATTTGCAAACACCTGCTTTTTGTCTGGACACAAGACGTCGCACACTTTCATCATGCAGCTCTTCAGAAACTCCCTCGGTAAATGACCGGGCTGATTTTCGCAATAAAACTTGCTTTCACAGCAGCTTCACTGTGTGATTTCGCTTCGGTGAAAACGTCTGCTGTGATGTCAAATTCCTCTTCAACTCCTCTACCTTCTGCTCTGCATTGACGTTTTTCAGCTTGTCCTGATGTTTTGTCTCGTAGTGCCATCTTAGGTTATATTCCTTAATTACAGCCACATTAGTTCCACAAATAAGACACATAGGTTTACCGGCAATGTCATTAAACATATACTCAGCCTCCCACCGGTTTAGAAAGGCTCTGTTTTCAGAATCAACCTTTCTCTTGGCCATTATTAGGGGCTATCTTTGACTTGAAATTAGGGCTGTATACATCAACAGACGCTTGATTGATGTGACGTAATAGACGCGGGAATGATCGCAGGTAGCCTATCGTTCGGTAAGGCAGCTGTTGCGCTGCATTATGGGATTTGTACTTTGTGTGTTATCGACGTTTCATATAGCTGGGCCATTAAAAAAAGATATATAAAATGATCTCGCGGGCCGGATGTAGCCCGCAGGCCTTGAGTTTGGCACATGTGCTGTAGGCTATTTATTCAACTTTGTACGTCTTCCGCTGACAGTACGATCAACTTCTACGTTTATTTTGAAAACAAACGTGCTCCACTTCCCGTGTTTTTCCCGGTTACATCCGGCTAACTTGACGTGATACCGTCACTGTTTGACGTATGAATAATCCTTACCAAGATGGCGTTGTATCTGTTTCTTAAGGGGTGATCATTGCTGTTGTTTGCGCAAAATAAGAAAATTAATCATCTAGAACATAGTGTTAATAAACTGGCTTTGTTGTTAAACAACTGGAGTGAACTTAGTCGCGCAATATGTCCACAGAGGAGCTGTCAGCCTCGGACAACGAGGCTGTCTTCGCCGGAGCAGGGGAGCGGTGGGCACCGGTAGGCGCTGTGGCAAGTCCCGAAGATGAAAGCGGGAGCGCTGGCCAGCCGAGGCAAAAAGGCTCCTTTGCGGCTACCGAGGAGGAAATGGCTGCCAGGTTGAAGAGGCTGGAAGAGGAGCAGGATTTGTTGAACTCTTCCCTGCTCGCCCTCACCTCCCACTTTGCTCAGGTTCAATTCCGACTGAAGCAGATAGTTCACGCTCAGAGCGAGGAGAAGGAGAGGATGCTGGCCGAGCTGGAGGAGTTCGCCTTCAGGGGCTGCCCGCATGTTGTGGGCTGCAGAGCCCAGGACACCAAGCAGCTGGAAAACTCGGTGAGCTTACCACAGCATAGAATCACCATGGGCCGACACACTCTGACTACATGCCTGGAAAAGATGGCTGGTGTCAAAAAGAAAAACGCTAAACAAGTGCAGTTCATTACCATTAGTATAAATGTAGGACTGTGGTGTAGTGGTTTCACCCACAGGTGTTATTGGTGCCTGCCAGGGAGCTGGGAAGTGGCTGTCAGCATTAGAGCTAAAACAGTTCAATCAATCAATTGATATTGATTGAATGAATCATATCAATCGATAGAAACTGCAACTATTTTAATGAGTAATCTTTTATTATTTGAGAGCATTTGCTAATTTTCTTTGGTATGACAGACTTTTAGATAGAGAAAAGAAGAAGCTGTACCTTATGGATTTATATTGATATTTTTCACAGCTTTCTGACATTTTTCAAGCATTAAAAGTAATGTTTTAATTAAGTCAGAAATGAAAGTGGAGCATGATTGCAGGGAGCAAATCACCATTCACCTGCTAGTGAATATAGTGCCTCACAGAGATATAAGTCTCATACATGCACAAATCTGCAGATGGACACTGTGTACTCACTCAGATACATAGACCTGAATGCACGGATACACAATAAACATAGTGTCACACATGTGCACAGTGAGTCTTTGTGGTGTTAAAAGCGGTCATGTTAACTGAAATGAATCATCTCAGAGGCTGAGGTTCCTGATTAAAACTGATTACAGTGTGCTTGCTGCGTCACACCCAAGGGTGCTGTGCCCAGCTCTGTTTTGTTACCAAAGATCTGTTATCTCAGGTAGAAATGATTGCTTTCTACTACAACTGTGTGACTCATACTGCCACAGGCTCAGTGAAATTGTCTCCACCAGATCAGTCTGTTTAATAAAGGTTTCTGTGTACACAGTGATGTTGAAGCAGCCTACTTTGACTTCTCTGTCACTGTTTACTCCCTGCCTCTGTACATTTAGGCCTAACTGAAGTAAAGCCTGTGATACTGTATGTCTTTATTGCTCCATGTATATCCTGCCTAAAGGCCTTTTTATTTATTTCTCCTTTTTCACATGCTTTACTTTCAGGGGGATCTGGTGAGTATGATGTGTGATGTCTCTTTAAGAGTTTGATATGTGTGTATTTATTTGCAAATGTTGTGACACAAGTGATAACAGATGCAGGTGGCTATATGACAAACCGTTGCACAGATGTAATCCCACCCATTGTAGATTAAACCTTAATACTGTACATAATGACAGCAAAAAGCTGTTAAACGGTGAGTACAGTCCTCACAGCTTAAAGGTGCTGTCAATTTTACACATTGATAGATCAAGTTTAAATGGGCCAGAACATGGTGTCTCTCCACTATACTACCCCTCTCGTTTACAGTCTGCCACTTACAGTCCTTCTGTCGTTATTCCAGCCTCTCTACTCTGTGTTGAAAATATGATCTGTAAATTTGCCCCACCTGCCACTTACCAAAGGTTATGAGAAGTGTTTTTTGAACCATGAGTAGTCATTTCAAGGGTTAACATCAATTTGGTTTTTTGAGATGAAGACGGTTAAAACCAGCCTCAGGACTCAAATTTGGTTCAGTTGCGATGTTCTTCCCTCTGGACGTCTAAAGCTAACACATTTGTTTGGTGACGTTAGCGACCTATTGAATATATATGATTTGAATTTGGGAGTAATTTGAGGTTTGTGTAACGTCATTGTCACATTAGCAGTAACCGGAGTGTTCTACTGGATTGCCAGATTGACTCATTAGTTGCCAAATGCTAGCTTCGAACTGGAGGCTGCGTTTTGTAGTTTGTTGCAACTAGGGATCTGTAATTTACATTGTTACTAAGAAACAGGATGTGATAGGAGGGGTAGAGAGCGGTTGGGAGCGTCTTATGGTGTGACTTTGTTTTGAGTCTCACTAGACTCTATAGGCTGAATATAAATTACCTAGAGAAGCTTTAAATATTGATATTACTATGTCTAGCAAAAGTCCCACACTGGTCAACATCTAGTGCAGTAGATTACATCTGATGTATATTACTATTCACTATGTTATTGTGGCCAATCAGCTCTCACTATAAAAATTAAAAACCACTGCGTGTGTTTTCTCCTGTCAGAGTGAGAGGGAGAAGAGGGAGCGCCTGGAGGCCCAGAGAGAAAAACAGAAGGATCTCATTTTCCAGCTGAAGACACAGCTGGATGATCTGGAGCGCTTCGCCTATCAGGAGGGCAGCTACGACTCACTGCCACAGTCTGTTGTCATGGAAAGACAGAAGGTGGGAATGTGGAAATGCAAAGTTATTATACTCAGCATTTGAACCGGGGGGGGGTTCAACTCCACCTTTAGTCATGTTATATAAAAATAATTTAGAATCTGGAACAAAATATTGATTACAGCCAGGCCATAAATTTCATAGTTTGAAGGGCAAGGCCATTTGTGCAGTTGTTTGTAGAATGGCTAAAGGGAAATATGCCGAGATAGTATAGTAACTGTGCACCTTTATCATAATTTGGAAAGTAAACGCTGATATCTGTGCACATTTAGACTCAAAGGCACATTAAGATCTTGTTGCTCTCTGCTGATCTGGCCCAAAATCACAGGCAAGAAGAATGGTGGATGTATTAAGGAGAAAATGGAGGAAAGGCATTTAATTACTCAAAATGGTGCAATCATAATGTTCTTCTGGCAACAGGGTGAAAACTAAAAATAAATGCATAATGGCTGCCTATTAAGGTCTTCACTTGGTTGTCAATATTGAAAATATTAGTGCTTATTTAGCATATGCAGTATTTCAAATAGCAGAGAAAACACAGTACATTTCTCTGAGTTTCTTTACAGCCAAATATTACATTCTTTAATCTGCTTATCCAGCGAAACTAAAGGAAACCTTATTGTAGGACACAACAGCCACTGTGGCCAGGACCATGGCCGTCATGAAATGTATACCCAACAGCCTAAGTGAGAGACTTGATCAAATGTGATCTACAAGTGTCCCCAGTTGTATTTCTATTGCTGAGCACATAACTTGGTGTTTACCTATTTTAGGACAGGTGTAACAAGTCAAACTCTCTTCTTTCAAAGTGCTTCAGCTTCATAGTGTTAGTTTATAATTGTGTTTCCTTCTCTTTTTCGATTATTACTGGATGAAATGTAAAAATAATATGACAAGGGATTGTTGTGATGATTTCACAGAGAATTCTAACTTGAATCTGCACCTTTACAGAGCCTTATAGTGAATTTCAGTTCATTTAGCTGTTCAGCCCACAGCTTTACTGTTTTAGTTTGCTTTCATTGCTCTAACTGCCTCGGGTTTTGTTGTAGCAGGCAACTGTTTACTGTATTAAAAAATAAATAAATACACATTGCACATGACCTGCTAGGCAGCAAACAACAGACAGACACAGATACAAATTAGAACATAGCAAACAGTGGTGCATTAGCAGCTGAAGCGCCAGGTGTTTCCCACAGCAGTTGGTAGAGACACAGAGTAAAAAGAGAATGAACGTTGGACTTGTATTCATCAGGTTGACACAAGCATGAATCCAAATGAATGATAATGTTGCTCCATAACTCTTAGATGTGTAAATAAGTAACAATTTCCACTTGTAGACTTAAAACTAGAAAATTGAATTTTCTGAAAGATCGCCCTGAAAATGCTGAACATTTTGACACCTGAATGCTTTTGCTAGCTGAAAGTATGCTGAAGTTGAAATTTCCCTGTTCACTTGAATGGGGCAAGATTTTCAAAATAAAACTAAATATTTCAAAAGTATGAAGTTTAGAAAATGTCTGAAGAAAAGCATGAATGTCCTTGAAGAGCTGAACATTTTGATAGCTGAAATTATGCTGAAGTAGAATTTTCCCATTAATTTGAATGGGGCAAGATTTTCAAAATACTTTTGAAATATGCTGAATCAGCATCCATACAATCAGATGTCAGTGTTGTCTTGTTTCTACTGAGTACACGGTGTCCATCTGCCTCCAGTGGACAAAATTAGTTATTACACTATTTAAGAGCACCCTTCCATTTGAAATCTCCCAGTCTAACCAGTGATATAGCCTACAAGAAGCTGAACCTTTAAACTGTCTTACATTTTTCAGGTCATCATTGACGAGTTGATCAAAAAGCTGGATGTGAACCTGAACGAGGACATTGGGAACTTGTCGCCCGAGGAGCTGAGACAGCGAGTTGATGCGGCCATTGCTCAGATAGTAAACCCAGCCAGGGTCAAAGAGCAGCTGGTGGAGCAGCTCAAAACCCAGATCAGAGATCTGGAGATGTTCATCAACTTTATCCAGGGTACATAACCTTGTATACAGTATGCATATTAGCTAATTTGTTTCCATCTTGCAGGTTTTTTTTTTTATTGTTAACTTTTTCCTTTTTTTTCCTAAAAGATGAGGTGGGGAACCCTCTCTTGTCAGACGGCAGGCCACAGCCGCAGGCAGCAGGGACCAATGCCAGAATTCCAGGGGCGAAAAAGAAAGGTAATTCAGTACATATCAAGCTCTTGACTGCAAGTAGCTTGTAATGTTAATAGTAGTAATACCAGTAGGTATATGCCTTTTGACGGCTTATAGTGTTGTAGTCAAATTACCAGTAAGTCCATCCATTTTTAAGCCACATATTAGGGTGGGTCTTTTTTGACCATTTTATGTCCTGGGATAAAAGTTTATTTTGTGAGCTAAATTTTTGTGTCAAAGAACATACTTATGTTCACACTGTTGTGGTAAATTGGATAAATAGAAATTTGGCTAGTTGTCATCTGTACAGTACCTTCTGGCTTTATGGTGTTCAGCCAATGACTAAAATGTTTTCTTAAGATGTATTAACTGCTATGCTCTTAATATGCTCTCTCTAAGCATAAGTATAGTAAGCATATTTTGCTGGCTGTCCTTCTCTCCATGTAGTGGACCCTGAACAGGCCCAGAGGATGCGAGACACCGGTCTGCAGCTGATCCAGAAGGCCCTCACCGTGCTGCAGATCTTTGCTGCTAGCCAGTTTGGCTGCACCTCTGGCCACATCCCCCAGAGCATGTGGTCTCAGGGGTCAGCTGGTCAGGACTACGGGCCCCTGCTGCAGCATCTGGAGGCAGCTGTAGAAAAAGTGCGAGTGCTGGGCTCACGCAGACATGTCGAATACGTGGTCAACTACACCAGCAACTCAGTGCTGGGGCCCCGAGACGAGCTGACGATGACTGTGAGGAAGGAGTTGGCGATTGCTCTGAAAGACTTATTGGCACACGGTCTCTTTTTGCCCTCTCAGACCATGAGTCTGGTGCTGGCACCGATCTCCTGCCTGCTGCCTTATAGACCAGCCACCCAGACCATGCACCCATGGGAACTCTTTGTTAAATACTACCACTCCAAAAATGGAAAGGCTTTCGTGGAGTCACCGGCCCGCCAGCTTTCACAGTCCTTCAGCCTGCCTATAGGGGGCGGCCCTGTAACAGTCACTCCTAAACAGTCTCTGCTGTGGGCCATTCACACCGTGTTAAAGGAGCACGGACGCTACAAACGAGGGCCGGACTCAGAGTTCAAAGCACTGGTGTGCATGGCTCTGAATGAGCAGCGTCTGGTGTCATGGCTCAACCTGCTTTGTAAATCAGGGACTCTGATACACCCACACTACCAGTCCTGGAGCTACATAGCCCAGACCGGCTTCGAAGGAGCCCTGCGTATTCTGGGCCGCATTAGCCACCTCAAATTCAACCTTCCTGTGGACTTGGCTGTTCGGCAGCTTAAGAACATTAAGGATGCTTTCTGAGGAGGCACAAATGAAAAGTAGAGAAACACCCGTCTCAGAAACCAAGTATTTTATCAGTTAAACTACACTGGTCTTGCCTGGCTGTCAGGACCAAAAGCCCGACTTAGTGCTTCAATTGTGTAACCTTTCAAAGGTTATTTAAGCAGCTACCCATCTAAAGTGCAAGTATGTGATATCAACAGTACATGCATGGTTGGTTATGTTGTGTGAGCTTCAGCCATAAGCAAACATAGGTTTAATATGCCAAAATGTCAAGGAGCCAATGCTACATGTACTGTAAACATGCCTTAGAGAGGAGACTGAGATTACCTCACTTTTAGTAAAGCCTTCCTGACCTTTGTGACCTGTGCTGATTATACAGTGTCAGTCCCCTGTGAACATGTTGGCGCCCTGAAATATGCAGCAAATGGATTTGTACAGTAATCAGTACTGTAATGTGGCTACCAGTTAGTCCAGGACGAGAGATAATGAGCAGAAATACTTTTTGATACTGTGGCACTACACAGTAACCAAGAGCTTGTGATGTGTTGGTCCTTGTACTGCTCCATTCCTCTGGCACAGAACTTTAGGAGGTATATCACATGTAGCAAACTGATTGAGCATAAAGATAAATAGCAGCACTCAGGTCAAGCTGAAATGAAAAATTCATATTTTCCATCATGGTGTTCTGAGAAATGTGATGATAAAGTGTTGTGTAATATTGCCTACAAATATGCAGCTCTCCACTTCATTTCAAACCTCTGAAGCTGTTATTTATCAGCTGTTGAACAGTGTGTTTCAGGTGTGTGAACAACACACCCTTTATGAACCTTTCTCCTCTTCCAAGTGAAATTCAAATGAAGTGATATTTCTTAATGATTTACATCCTGTATTGAACATGACTAAGTTATAAAAGGTTTAGTTTTATTTCCTGTTTGATTTTCATATGGATTTCTTAATTTTCCTGAGACAGCTGAGTCATATGTATGGTACCCTTAAATACTGAATGTACAAACCATAGATGCTGTTAAGCTGAGGGTGGTTTATATCTGCTGCATGTTTCCCTGCTGTTCATGCGATTGAGACTGCAGTGTTCCTGGGCCCACGTGTATGTATCAAAGCCCAGAGAGGAGGTTGCCTGACATGAAAACCTGGTTCCATATTAGTGCACTTTTATCTCATTTATGTTAATAAAGAATTTCTGTTTTGGGCCATGGTTAATGTATACAGTGTAATGCTGTATTTTGCTTACTTGTTTTGCATATTTGTTGCATTTTGTTTGACAGTTATGTAATTATTTGTGTAAAGAGTATTTATTTATTGGTTAGCATGTTTTAGCTCAACACTGAAGTAGGTAGAACATTTCAGAACACTAAAAGTAGCTGCTGTAGTCTAGCTGTTCAATCTGGGAACACAGATACACTGAATCATTTAAACTGTGCTCTATCTTATTTTTATTTAATCACTTTAATTAGAAATAATATATTGGGAGAGTTGTGTTTATTTTTGTTTTTTAATCATGTTTAATCTATACCTACAGCTGTAAGCAAATTAAACGTAATAAATGAGCTGCTTTGCTGCTTTTGAGTCTTCATTTATTCAGTTTATAATATAGTTGTTTTTTTAAAGATGTTTTAAGTGCATCATAGCAGTCTTTGATTGTGAGTGGACGGCTCTTTTTCCAACTTTATTGGAACGTTTGCCACACATAACATGATCCAAAGCCTATTGTCAGACAATCAGCTACCAGGAGGGCATTCATATTATTGCCACAAATGGAAAAATAGAATTGCAAAAGTTCAGTCCTGATAAATGATCCCATTAAAATAATAGACTGAAACCTCTCTATACTGCTTCAACTAATATATAATCATTATTATAACCGATACATGTTGCTTCTGATGTTGCACATTTGTGAGCAACTGTAAAAGTTAAGGATTTTTACTTTTATCTTTCACTTATAAATCCGATATTTTACTTTAAGTAAGTTAATAAATGGGGCCCCGATTCTTCTGCCATAAAGTTCTTATGAACAACTCATACTAATTTTTAAAATTCAATTCAATTCAGTTTTATTTGTATAGTGCCAAATCACAACAAAAGTCATCACAGGGCACTTTACAAAGTAAGGTCTAGACCTTATTATTATTAATAGTATAGAGGAAAAACCAAATAAACCGCCCCTTGAGCAAGCACTTGGCGACAGCAGGGAGGAAAAACACCCTTTAACAGAAGAACCCTCTGACAGACCCTGGCTCTTGGTGGGTGGCCTTCTGCCTCGACCAGTTGGGGTGAATGGATAGAGGAGCGAGAAAAGAAAAGCAATGAGATACAATAAACAAACACTGGGCAGGTTGACGTGGCCAGTGGCTCATCAGAAACATACAGCTCAAGAGCCAGGGATACCTGCAGAAAGGTACAGGGAGAGAGGAGACACGCATCTAATGGTGGTAGATAAAAATAAACTGGAGAGAGAAGGTGGGACGAGAGGAGAAGAGCTCAGTATCATGGGATGACCCTCAGTCTAGGCCCATAACTAAGGGATGGTACACCAAACCAAAGCTGCATGGCCAATAATTTCAGACACCTACATGGGTCCAAGCGAAAGCCAAATAGTTTTTTAAATAAAATAACTTAAGAACATATCAACACCCAAGCGATATGTGATGCAACTGATGATTTAAAAACATAGAATTATAAAAGCTCGGGACTCATTACAAAACAAAAAAAATGACATCCGGAAGTGACGTATGTTTGTCGGGTTCAAAGTTCACAAAAGTCTTTCGAACTTCCTTTCGTGTAGCGGTGGCAGTAGAACAGCATCAGTGAGTGGGGTTTTCCTTTAGAAAATCTTTAACCATCGCTCCAAATCTCAGCTAGTTTGTCAATTTTTTCATATCACGCATATGTCATTCACTTCTGTATTTAAGATGTGCTTGGTATTTTCACGTGTTTTTAATTGACAAATGAATAAAAAGAAATTACTTCAGCGCTTCGTCTCTGTAGCGCTTATTTCAACATGGCAGCCTCCTTGTTGTGGACGCACAACCTCAGACTAATAATATTACTGCTAATTTTATGTGCTCACAGATAGTTTTATCATGTTCTGACGCATTTTAAAGTAACCGACGACAATTTCTTTTATTTGTTTGAGCGTTAAAGAAGTTGTATCTCTGGAAAATGGCTTAAAATCGAAGGCTAATGCCAACTTAGCCAGGCAGTCTTGCCGTAATGTGAAGCTAAGTTGCATTAGCTACAAAATAATTTTTCCACGTTTTCATCGCTTAACAATGCCATGTTCCAGTCACTGTCGTTAGCACGGAAGTGTGGGATTCCCCTGGGTAACAGGGTTTAACCGAGTTTTCTTTGTGGCAGAAATGGGCAAGTTCATGAAACCTGGGAGGGTGGTGATGGTCCTAGCTGGACGCTACGCCGGCCGCAAAGCTGTCATCGTCAAGGTAAAACTTGGATGTTACCTGCTGCTTACCGAGTCAGATTGAGTCCTAAAACCAGGACTCTTAATCTTTCCAGAGTTGTTTCAAAATTCAATAAAAGTAGTCCCGACCTGAATGTTTTTCGTTTTACACATTGTTGTCCATCGTCTATTATTTCATTATTATAAAATCATGCAGTGACCTTTAAGCTAAAACATCATTAGATGATAAGCCATCAAACGTTTGGCTTTCTTGAGTTTGAGGCATTTGAAGCCATCTGCAAATAGAAAAGTAAAAGTTTTGCTATACTGTGTATAGCCTATAATATAATTATTTGGACTTGCAGAAAATACATGCTGCATCAGTTTTGCCTAATCATTAGAAAATTGGTAATGTTACTTCATTTGGTCATTAATTTATACTTTGTACTTATTTGTTAGTTAAACCTAAAGAACAACATAAAATAGGTTTGCCATTGAATGCCTGTGTTTTCACTGTTAAGTTTCCCCTTTCAAGTGCATACATAGGCACGAAGTTTGCAACCGTGTATAAATGTAAACTTGCATTACAAAGTTTAAGCATTGAGGTGTAATTAAATTCATAATTTTGCATAGACATGGACTACTAACCTTAAACCCTCATATTGGGAATCATGAGACAGTTTTACAGAGACAGCTGTAACCATAGTAACTCGCTCTCTGTCCCTGCGCAGGACATGAGGAGAGGGACGCTGCGTGTTGTGTATGTACTCATTGTCCTCTTTTCACACCACCACATCAGTTATAAAGTTTTTTTTTCCCTGCATTAGAAAATAGATGTGGTGTGAGGGTTGGCAACCCTGCTTTACATACAGTGAGACACTGTGGACAGAGTTGGCGTACACCCGTTTCGGTCACTATTAAACACTCTGACACACAGAGTGCCTGTTGGCTTGCTGCTGAAACATACTTGCTGACTGACCTTACAAAAATTGTCTTGGAATATAACGTTGTTTTTCTAAAGATAAACATTACTAGTAATGTTATTCAAATGTCAGGTATGTAAAATTGCAGGACAGGTGTTGAAGCAGTGTGCAGCTTTTTTGGGCGGGCATGATCAGGGTCTGCCTGATGTCATAGTCCCTTGTTGATGTCTTTTTGCAGAACATTGATGATGGCACCACCGACCGCCCTTACAGCCACGCTTTGGTCGCAGGCATTGACCGCTATCCCCGTAAGGTAACCACAACCATGGGCAAGAAGAAAATTGCCAAGAGGTCAAAGATCAAGGCCTTCGTCAAGGTGTTCAACTACAACCACCTGATGCCCACCAGGTCAGTGTGCAGTGTGGATACTTGTTTCTTGTGAAAACTTCCCACTTCTGACTGGCTCCACCGTAACAGTGGCAGCCGGTTATTATTGTGGTTATGGTTATTATTGTCTAGAACCATACAGTAGACTCATATTTGTTTTGAGGAAAATTGGTGAAATTGCAACTTGCAGCCATCCTGTCCTTGGTGTTTGCTCTTTTATGGGCCATACACATGTTCAGTGAAACCACCACTCACCTTAGAATTACTGGATTAATTAGTTTTAAACACAGTATGAAAAGAAACTAGCTTTAATAAATACAATCAGCCTGTCCAAAACTCATACAGCATTCCACATTTAAGCAGTGTATGCTATGTATCTACTGTAAATATCTATTGTTTTAGCAGTTACTATAGAAATATCAGTGTTTTTATACTAAATGATCAGATCTGAGTTCCTTGGAGGTATTAAAAAATGAATTCAGTTTAGCATATAGTCTGATACGTATGTTTTATTTTCATCAAGAACGGAGGTTTTGAACAGTTGCAGAGACAGAAATTCATTGTGCTGAGCATTTTGAATCA